TACCAATTTACCCTTCTGATCCATTAATAACATTTATATGGTGCACTGCAGATATTCAAACTAAGTTGCAAACATTTGCTTGCCATTTCCTGCAAGCAAGGGCGTTAGGGGCCAACATGGAAAGCGAAAGACTGCTTCCGGTCCCAAGGGTGACAGGTGGGTTCCAGGCTTTGATCTCTCTCCAAAAGAACTCTGAGGCCCAGTGAATCGGGAAGAACTATGCTTCTGCTCAGCTGACCAGGTAAGGGTGAAACAAAGGTTTGTTCCTGTGTTACCAAGCCTTGGAAACGTTCTGAACACAGTGCAATGAGTGAAGTGGCTCACCTGGTTCCTTTGCTCAGTGTGACAAGGAAAACCATGGTCTTTCTGCAGTGATATGGGGAACAAGAGGAGGAATCTGGGCATTGAGGCTCATGGGCTCACCATCAGCAAGCTGGCAAGGATTTGCAAAACCCAGCCTGTAATGCATGTCAGCAAAATGATTCCCACATTACAGATAGCAGCCAGGTCAGAGAGAACTGCAGTCCTTGTCTAAGGGTTGCACAACTGGGAGATGGACCCCAGAGAGGGGGAGGAGGCCGCCTAGAGACTTTGCCCCCTAAGGACCCTTTTCAGGGGCTTACACTCTTGGCCACTATGGTGTACCAGTTCACTCGCCACATTTCCTTCTTTGCCACCCAGCAGACACAAGATAGTTGGGCTGTACCATTTCAAACAGAGCTGACAGCAATTTTTGCCTAAAGTGAGGTCGCAAAACAGGCGTGGAGGATTTTGCTTGGAAGAGCCTTCTGCGCAGTTTCAAAGGAAGTGAGAACTACAAAAGTTAAGTGGCCTCGTGAAACCTCAGGGAACTGGGGGCAGGAGAGGTTGTATAAACCTGATTTTAAGACAGACAGTACCGGAAGGTGAAGGAAGCTATCCTGTGACCCCAGACCCGGTCTCAGCAGCCTCCAGTTATTAGATAGCGCTCTGAGCTCAGATAGCAAGGCTGAGATGTACCCTCCTTCCCTGCCTTCCTACAGCTGGTATGGAAAGCAATGCACCAGTAGCCCTCCAAGGCTGGAAAAATGACCACAAAAAGGGAAGAAAGATGTTCGGATCCTGTCACTAGAAAGATTAAAAGGCCCACAAGCATAATGAGCAGTTCAGGAGGACCAGGAGATAGCGATCACCTCCACCAGTCTTTCTGCCCTGCATCGGATGGTGGAAGTCTCCAAGTTCAGATCATCAGTTTTGGATCATTAAGGACACAGTCAATAGGACTATACCCTTAGTAATGCACTCTTAACATGTCCCAAAGAACTAGATTCCAGCACGGGGTTCAACTTTGCGAAGCATCTCAGCAGAGCTCAATTAGCAGTCCTCGTATGTACATCTCATCATCTTATGATGATGCTTGTGGAATTTCTATCCTGCACAAATCGGGATGCAACATGTTTACAAATTCTACTTTGTTGAGAATCAAAATAAAAATGCTAGCTTCTCTTCAGTAATGCAACCTCCAAACTTCCATTTCTACCCCTGACAAATTCATTCTTATCCATGGATGATCGCATGGAAGGCAGCTGCGTAATATGCAACATCCTTAGAAATGGTTTGTGTGTGCTGAATTAGGAATTCCAACTTCAGCCTTATCTCAAAGGCTTTCTTTTAAAAAACCAAATCAAAACATTAAGTAAATATCCTGCCAAAATGCTGCTTGGGGCTTCCAAAGCTCCACTTTATTTATGTAAGGGGAAAGAAAGACACAAACAAAGCAAGCTTAGTGCAGTGAAAGATAAGTTATTACAAACATTGCTTAAGTGTCACACACCTGAAATGCATTAGCTATAAGTAGCATCACCTTTCGTTTGGGGGATATCTGAGACATAAAGAAGGGTTCAAGAATTAATTACTTTATTCTATTGTGGAGGCAGGGGCAGTTAAAAGGATTCTAAATAAGCTGCCTCATCAGAAAAGCACACAGGACACTAGAATCTGAACTAGAATCTTGGGCAATTTGGAGCAATCCACAGAAACTAGCAGTGAACTTCATTGTGGTTCTAGGATATTGTGAGGGCCGCCACCCAGGAACAAATATGCAGAGTCACTCATCTTGTTACTAAATTCTAGATACAGCCTAAATCTTCCTCCTCCAATTTCGGCTATCACCTGCCTGAAATAAAAGGGATTACCTTGTCAAAGAAAAAATTTGGAGACCAGTTGAGCAATCTGTGCTTGCTTTTCGAGGGTGAGAAACAGAGAGGAGCAAGATTAGCATCCTGTGCATTTGACGGCCATTCTTGCTTCAGGGAGTAAGAGATAAAGCAAGAGAAAAGCAATTAGATGGCAGGAACTTCAGGGAAATCCAGCTGGCTCTGTAAGAAACTATATAATAGGGCAGCAGATGCACAATTACTTCTCCTAAATTTGGGGCTGAAGAGACATAAGAAGGCCGTGCCATGTAAGATTTGCTCTCTTTCCAGTACACAAATTAACTAAAAGAATCGCTTGCTTGCTTTCTACAACTCTCCTCCATCTCTCCTACTGTAACCAGGGTCAAGGCTTCTCCCTGTTTACTTCTTTCTTTGTAAACTGACAACCTATCAGCTTGTGTCGGAGTACTGGCACTTATTCTATGTGATCTTCTGCGCACCAAAGGTGTGCAAGCACAAAGTGGTAACACCGTTGCTTTCTTATACTTGGTGACACTGCACAGTTAAAATAAAAATGCTTCCAAAGGGTTATGAGCAGGATTTTCAGAAAAGCCCTTGGGAAAAGCTAAGGGCAGAATAGTATGTGATTGTAAGCCACCTTGGAAGGCATCTTGGCAGTTATAAGTGCCATATTAATATGTGCATAAATAAATAACTCAGGGGGCTCTTCTTGAGCTTCCCATCTGGTTCTCCTGAGAACAACATCTGTCTCCAAAAAGATTTCTACCCAGTACAACCAAGTACAAAATACCAAACATGTCTACAAAATTGGACACCTGACACATCTTCCGCTTACTCTACTTCACATATGTACTTTTCTCAACCAATTGGGCCCAAACTGCTGGATGCAGCAATGAGCATTTGTAAAGCTTCCTTGTCTCTTTCTCTCCAAGCGTTTCTTCCTTGCCAAGTTGCCAGAAATGACTGCAATTATAAGGAGTATAAGTTCTGGAGCAGACTAGTGAGTGTTTGGCATGGACCCAGCATTAAAAAAAATGTAAAGCAAGGGACCAACTGGACAAAGGTTGGGCCAAACTACAGCCTTGGTTTCCTGTCTACGATTCTTCTACCTCTTCTAATCTGGTTGAAGGGACAATTTAAATATACACATACATTAAAGCAGAATACTTAAAAATAGTTAGCACACTACAAGAAAGCAAAACAACAAGCCCAAATTGTATTTTCTCATTAGATTTATTGCAAAAGTTTGCTTAAAGTTGAGCCACTAACATTATTTTCTGAACATCAGCAAGGAAGTATTTTAGATTTTTCAGTTTTGGATTTTGCAGCATCATACTGTCACAGAAGACAGGTTTACAGCCCAACCTGCATCAGTTAATGGTCTATAGATAGCAAGATTGATTTCATAAGATTCTAAATGGTTGCTCTGACTGGATTTCAGCTTCTAAAAGGATCTGGGATCAGTGATAGCCAGCTATCAGTATGCCTGCCTTCCAGTTTTAATCAAAATCAGTTTGGCAGTGTGACTTTCAGAGCATGTGTGCACTAGCAACGGGTTGGCATCAGCCATTTTGATTGCCACAGTTAGTTTTTGGGTCAAAGCCGAAGTGAATTGCTTTGGATTCGGCAGTTCAAAACCATTTTAAAAACCACTCAAAGAAACCATTTCCACTCAAATAGCTGTAAACTAATTCGAATCATCTCCCTGACAATAAAAGATTGACTAGAAAACTAAGAGGAAATGGAAAGAGAAACAATCTTGCCACTGTCAGAGTACAATTCAGGAGGCTGACAACCCCACTCCATGCAAGAATTTCTGGGCTGCCTTCAACCCATGAAGGCTTTCCTACATTTTAACACACACAAATTACTTCACTGAGAAACTGTGAGAGCAACAATATTATCAGATCTGTCTCTAAAATCCCAAAGGTTGACTTGATGCTCCCTTGAGAGAGGAAAAAGAAAGCAAACTGTTTGACCAAACGTGTAACAAAGGTACTAATTTTCCCTAGAACATTCCTGAAACAGATACTTCCCTGCAGCTTTCCAGGGCCAATAAATGCATCATTTTGGGTGGTGGACTAACTATGGCTAAGTAAAAGAGCGCAAGCCATTAGCTGGCATGTCCACTGGCCTTTTCCCCTCCCCGTTGACCATAAAGTCAACTGCAGCCTTATCCAACCTGGTGGCCTTCAGAGACATTTGGCCCACAACTCCCAGAATTCCCCTCCAGCAGGGCCACTGACTGGGAATTCTGGGTGTTGCAGTTCCAATATGTCTGGAAGGCACAAGGTTGAGGAAAGCTGGCCAACAGCATGACTTCCCAGGAAGCATGAAGGCTAAAGCAGGGCTCCCTCATAGCCAGCATTGCAAGCTGGGCATTGAATCCTGGTTAACAGAGAACCTGGTCAGCATTAACAGCTTGTTTTTTATTTATTGCATTTATATACTGCTCCGTAGCCCACTGGGCTCTCTGTTGTGAACATCGATCTGACGTGATGCCTGGCCTTCAGAAAACAATTTTGCTGGACAGGAGAGGAAAGAAGAGAGGAGGGGGCCACTCCATGATTCTTCATTGTCTCCCAGTCCCATGTCTACACACCCTTCCAAAAGGACTATTGCCCACATAAAGAACAGCAGTCAGAATAAACTTGCAAAACGTTTCCACATCTACTTCTTAATACATAAGAAATACTGCAATCGGAGGAAAGGAAATCCAGGTGAGCTAAGAAATGATGTAAGGATAAAAATTTCCACACAAACTAATTCAGACCTCGCCCATCTTTCCCACCCGCCCCGTGAGGAAACTTAACAGGCAGAACATCTAAACAGGCAAATAATTACCTTTTAACTCTCTGAAGAGGCCACCGTCAATTAGGTTTCAGGCGCTCTTAAACACAGAGAAACGGAGGAAGGGAGCTGGCAGCGAAGAGGCCGGCAGATCTGGCCTAAGAAAAAGAACATCAGAGGGGTTAACCACGACTTCACGGGACTCTGATGGAGAATAGTGGTGACCCCTAAACATAGAGAAATAATACCAACATGGCTATCTCAGTCTCGGGAGAATGTTATCACATTAAAGATCAGGAAACTACACTTTTAAGATAGTCTCACTCTTGCAGACCAAGACGTTGACAATCAAGTTAATGTGAATACAGCAAGACCAAATTTCAGGTAACTATTTGTTGTGAAAGTGCCGTAACCTGTTTGGTTCTTCTTCCCTGACAGTTGGTGAGTGAGGCCAGCTGAAGTGTCTTTATTACAGAGACAGTAATCTGACATACCCTCTTAATATGCAAAGTGCTTCATGCCCATCCTCTTAAATCATCCCTTCTCCCATCTTGGGAGGTGTCGTTATTCATTTTTTACAAAGGGGAAACTGAGGCCAAATACCGGTGGTTTTTCCGAGGCCACCCAGTGACATCCTGACCAACATCTCACACCTCCAACCCCAGCCAAAGCGGTGGCTTGCTGACACACATCTTTCCAACCTGGGGACTGTGTCAAAAGAATAGGAAGCCAGGAAAGAGAGTCCGCAATCAGCCATATAAATCAAATGTATCACTCTTGATTTAATTATTATAACACCAAGATGCTTTAGGCAGTATTATGATGAAAAGTCTCCCCTGACCTTAAAAAATAATTACTCAGAGACCTAGGTGGCATAGCCAGTTAATAATTGCTGCACTAGTTAAATATGAAGCACCCAAACATTTGCATCATGCAGCTTCCCATCTACCAGGAACTTTAAGAAATGCAGGAAGAAGATCATTAACTATCCATATAGCAGTATTCACCGCATTTCACATGCAATGTTCCAGCACCAGATTTCGCATGGGGACCCCGGACAGACTACTCCCAGGGTGCTCCTCCTTGGAGCAAGGCCCCTCCTCATGGTTGTCCATTCACGTGACTCTTCTCTCCCTCTGTGGGCTTTTCTACCCAACCACTCAAGGGAAGAGCACAATGCAAGGCAAGGCTGCTCGCTCCTCCAGCTCTTATCTCTGCTGCCTTCCATGCAGAAGGGACGAGAACAGGCAGAGAGGAGGCGGTGTGAGGCCGGGGAGCTGCAGGGTTTGGCAGTGGCCTCGAGCAGGTACTCAGTGATGCCAACCCCTGACACAGGCCCTCCTTCCAACACACTCTGGTGATTATCCCTTTCTTGCTGAGAGGGCAGCAAGTAGCCTAGGGCCACCGAGGGAGCTCCCAGCCAAGGTGCACTTTGACTAAGGAATTCCCAGTCCACATGCTGAGGCAGGGATCTTATATATGCTAATCCGGAGAAAGCTCCACTGAATACTGGGGCACTTTGTTCCACCTGAATGCAAAGAAACAACTATTGTTGGGCAGGAGTCCATTGTGCTTGTACTTGGGGGAGAGGGGCACTGAAGAGAATGGAAATGTCTACGTGAATGTGCATTAGGTGAATGTGCATTAGGTGACGGGATTGTCAAATCACAGCCCTCCGACCAAGTCCAACACGTTTGTGATATATGCACGCTGCAAATCTGTATTGGTTTTATACCAGTTGAATGTTTCCACTCAGAAAATGCTAGGGAATGCAGATTGGTGTGGGTGTAGTTAGGGAGTGATCCCACGGCCCCTGGAGGACCAAGGAATTGTTTGGATTCCCAGCTCCAAGGCCAGAAGATCCCTTTGGGCTCAGAGCTAAGGACTGGCCCTCTGATTCCCTCTTCCTCCTTGCAGCTGATGCAGAAAGAACTGCGCTGGCTGTTTCTCCAAGGTCACTTTGCAACCTCGGGGAAGGCACGTAGTGAGCATGCTGGGTGACTGGGAGAGATTGGCACTGCCAAGAGCTGACACATCCCTGCAACACCACAGCCTTCTCCTGGTCCCCAGAATTGCTACTGTGAGATACCCGAAATATCTGTTTCGCTACTTTGCTGGGCAGAAGGAATGCAGGTGTGACCTTCACCTCTGTACCCTTCCTGCTCTGCAAAAGAAACCCAGAATCCTCCCAGCCTGAAGTACTACAGGCATTCCCACCGAATTGCACCATTAAGTTTGTTTTAGCACTTTTCTATCTATACTGTTGTCGTTTGGATAAGAAAAAAGCGATACACATTCAGGGAGATCTACAATTCAGATTCAAGGACCGCTGATTGTTCGAAGCAAAGGTGAATTATACAGCAGGCTCATAAAATATTCCTCTCTGAATCAAGTCCCTGAATGCCAATCCCAGTGTGGCCCAAGCTACGCGCATGAAGAGAGAGGTACCAGCATGCTCCAGGGGATCCTGGATAAACTCGGAACTCCCAGTGGGGACTGAGCTTGCTCCCTGGGCATGGAATGCTGAGCATGGAAGACCGGAGCAAGAGGAAAGGTGGTGGCCTGCTAGAATCCAGGACAAGGAGCAGTTCCTTTTGTTGCAGGCTTAGCTTGCCCGTGCCCTATAAACCAATACATTTTTCACCAGCTTGCAAGATGAGGGGAGTCTGGCTGGGTCTGACACAGTCCTAAGCAGACAGACACCCAGTGTACCACGTGTAAGCAAACAGAATTAGAGAACAGAGCGTTCAGCATGACAAGAGAACCCAAACGTTCAATCTAATCAAATTTAAGTGATAATTGAAGAGAGGACAGCTGTGTTCACAGTCCTCCTACAAAGATCTGCAACTGTAAATTTTTCTAATGGGTTTAGTCCAATCATTTTCCTAAGCCATACCATTAGCAAAAACAAGCCTGCAGCCAACCCAGCATGAGCCGGGATTTCATTAGAGCTCCTCCTGAGCAGGGTAATTTCTGGTCAGTGCCTGGACCCAGAGAACCAAAATTAAATCAGGTGCTTTTCAGTGTGGTTTGGCAGCACCGAAGATTAACTTATGCAGATTTATAGCCCACCGTAACTCTTGCAGGCTCTCAATGGCATACAAGATTTTAAAGACTATATTAAATATTAAATAAATTCTGCGTGCGTGTAACACAATGCATACATATTTCTTTAGAACCAACCCTTTCACCTACACTGTACCCCTAAAAGCACATCCCCCCCAAACCCTCACAGACCTGAATTTTTACACACATGCAGGGCTTGTGACTGGTGACATTTGGGAGTATTCCTGCTAAAATTCCAGATTCCGAAGTCTTGCACTTACTAGTAAAGTGGGTGCAGCATTCCCAGAAAGACCTGGCGCAAGAACAGGTGGGATGGATGTGGGTGAGTGAACAACTGACTGAGGAAGGGGAAACTTGGTGGTCTGCAGTAAAATTGTTTAGGGAGAAACTTGACTTGGATAAAAGAAAAAAATTGGGAAGGTTGGTGTGAATAATGACAAGGAAAAGGCTGGGGGGATGCTAGCAAAGAAAGCCATAATTTGCCTGATGGGACTACAAATTTGATAACCATGGGAAGTTTTGTAAGAAAAAGGAGCATTAGAGACTTATCTGGGGTCCAAGTTGTACAACTGAAGGAGCAAATTCATTAAAGCAGGGATGGGAATAAGGTAGATCTTCAGATTTTTTGGACTTCCAGCATGGTCAGTAGTCAAGAATTCAGAAATGCCTGGAGAGCAGATTTATGCTCCAAGAGCATTCTTATTTATATATTTACTTTCTATAGCTCTCAACAGCTGAAGCTTTCTGGGCGGTTGCAAGACAATGATTCAAGCAAAGTATGTGTTCACAGGGAACAACAAAGAAATACAGAAAGGGGGAGAACAAGCACAATCAGAAAAGGTTACGCTGCTCCACATTTAAGTAAAGGGCATTACAAAAATGTAAAGGAAGAATGAGCAAGCAAAGGAAGGGGCAACAGTAGTTGCAAGCTCATAGATAATGGTCTGGTTCCAGACTGATTTGTTATTAAGAGCAGACCCCCTGAAATCAGTGGGTCTTAAGTTAATCATGGCTTAACCTAGTCATTATTAAGTTAATAATGATGAGCATACGTGTGATTCATTTCAGTGGTGTCAGGCTCTGCAGCTGGGATGTGGGCAGGCAGAGACAAGGCAAGCCAAGAACAAGAGAGCTGCTAGGACCTGGGCGACAGAACTTCAGTCGAGGGAGTGCACAAAAGCAGGGTTTAATGGCAAGTCCATATCGTCATTGTTGTACAGGCTGAGGTCAGGAACCAGAAGATTGCATGCGGGCAGAACAAGGATGTGGTCAAGAATAAGCCAAGGGTTGAAAACCTGGAGGACACAGAGGTGCAGGTGCCTTGAGCAGGGTAACAGGGTGAGAAATGCAGAAGGGCAGGATACAGGAGACAATGGGAAGCAGATGCAGCGAGGAGCAGGCAGGATGCAGGGGCGGAAGCACAGCTTGCGGGGAGCCCTGTGTTACTGAGGCAGCACAGCTAGGCAAGGTATAGGCAAGCCAAGGGGCAGTCACAACAGCAAGGCAACATGGAAAGGCAGGAAGCAGGAGCAGGAACGGCCAGGCAAGGGGCAGGCACAGCAGCAAACAAGAGGACCTGCGCTGCTGAGGCAGCATGGCAAGGCAGAAGACATGGCAGGAGATGGGAGTGGACAGTACGGCAGACCGGAGGACCTGAACTGCAAAGGCAGCATGGCAGGGGTAAGAGTAGGAGCAGTTTGGCAAGGTGTGGGGTCTGGCATTGCTGAGGCCAGTTCTGGAGGGAAGAGCTTGCCCTAGCAGAACTCTTCCTCCCAGACTCTCTGCTGGTGCTCCTCCATAGACTGAGAGCTCCAGCAAGGCCCAGGACCAATCCTGCAAATATGGTGGTGGTTGTTCTGGTTCCGGCCACCAGAACAGCCTGGATCCTGACAAATGGGCTAAATTGTAAATTTAGAACCAACCCAGGCCATCCATGTTTCAAATAGGAGCCAAGATGAGGAAAGATACTGTAGAAACATTCAAGATATGACTGAGAGTCCAAAAATGAAAATGTATGAGAAAAAAACTCTTCATAGTAGGTTTATATCGAAGAAAATAAATAGCTAGCAAAGTGAAAGCTACCAGAAGAAAC